ACCGGTCGAAACTGTGACGACGGACAACGGTGGCCGGCGATGGCGGAGTGGCCTGAAAGAAGCGATGCGTGGCGGCGCGTGACTGAGAAGCGGCTCTCGAAACCAGCGTGGTCGGTCGTCGCTCGAAGAGACGGTCGAGATCCGCAGGTCACCCGTCGAAACTGTGACGGTGGCCGGCGATGGCGGCGACGGCAGCGGCGGCGACGGTGGCCGGAGTTAGCAGCGACGGCAGCGGAAAGTGGCGGCAGCAGCAGTGGCACACTGGGTCTGGACCGGTGCTGACTGTGGCAGAGATTTAAGAAGAAAAAATGGACTGCCCACTGAGATTTTAGGGGCTGCCGGCGGCCATGGCGGCTGGCCGCCGACAGACAGCAGAAACCCTCGAGAAATCAGAGAACTTGCTCTGATACCATGTTAAATATAGTGAAAAACTATATTTGGATTAATCTCCCTTGTGTAAAAATACACACATAGGGTTTCTATTATAATAGAAGAAATATGGGCTAAGCCCAAAATACAAATGAGAAATAAAAACAAACTAACTAAAAGATAAAAGATATAATATATCTAACATATATAAATTAGAAGTCCCATATCGACTAGAAATAAGACCAATTTATAGTATATAAGTGGGTGCAAACCTCACCTTACAAGCTGGTTTTGTGAAGTTGAATTAGGCTTAAAGTCAACTTCTTAACATGGTATCAGAGTCATTAGTAGAACCTATCCTAGCAATATTTGTTGTTTGTTGGGTATATTGTTTCACCCACTATATACCTCGACACGTGAGCGGGTGTGTTGGAAGTCCCTCATCGATTAAAGATAAGACCAAGGTTTTGTGGGGTTGAGTTAGATTTAAAGTCTACTTCTTAACAATCTGAAGCGTCTCCTCGAGCGACGACCAACCCCGCCGGAGTGATGACCAGACTCCTCACCACACGCCTCCACGCGCCGCTTCTTCTCGGCCAGTCTCGGCCGCGTGTTCTGCACGCGCCGCCTTCCCAGTGTCGAAGTTTCACCGCGTCACTGCAGATCGTCTCGCCGGAGCTTCTTGAGTGTGTTTTGGTTCCTGTTTCTCCGTTTTGTTGGCTTGGGCTCATACCTAGGGTTTTCTCCCTCACGTTTTTGGAACCCTAAGTCCCTTTGCTGTCCGCGCCGTTTGCCACTGTCCGCGCCGTTTGCCGCTGTCCGGGCCGTTTGCCGCTGTCCGGCCGTTTGCCGCTGTATGCTTCCAACCACTACAGGACCCATCAGACAGTGATGACAATTTAGTCCCTGCAGTTTTATAGCTGTCAACCGCCGTTGCAGTCGCTACCGTCTCAAACAGACGCAACTGCGGCAGTTCTTCTTGGGCTAGAGTTTAGCTCGATCTTCTTGTGATACGCGGCTAAGTATCACCACTTGGGAGTTGTCCAGCAAAGAATTTTGGACCTCCAACATGTCTTTGGATCTTTGATGCCTTTGTTTCAGCATTGTAGCTTAATATTTTTGTTTTGTTTTAGTGGTCCAACAACTGTGATATTCCACATTTCCGCCCTTCACACTAAGGGGGAGTACGTTTCCAAGACACTGCAAGTCACATATATATGGGTGTAGTCCCTGCAGTTTTGTAGATTTAAGCTACTACTATTGATCCCGTCACCCATCTATCATTGATGAGGATTTAGTGTAGTCCCTGCAGTTTTGTAGCTCTTAGCTTTCAGCTACCACTGTTGATCCCGTCACTTATCCATCATTGATTGGGAATCAGTCCTTGCAATTTGTCATTGTCCACCACTGATCTCCTTCATCCACTTTTGAAGTTGAAGTTTCACAAGCTGTTGTTAGTCCATCTATGTTTGCCTCACACTCTTGAAGACAAATCATCTAGTTCAACACTGACTTCATCTATTCCAAGCTTAGTTCATACAATTTGTATGCTCCAGCTTGAGGGGGAGTGTTAGATATATTATATCTTTTATCTTTTAGTTAGTTTGTTATTATTTCTCATTTGTATTTTGGGCTTAGCCCATATTTCTTTTATTATAAATAGAGAACCCTATGTGTGTATTTTACACAAGGGAGATTAATCCAAATATAGTTTTTCACTATATTCAACAATATATATATATATATATATATATATATATATATGTATATATATATATATATATCATATATATGTAATGAGACTTAATAAGAGAGAAAAATGATTTTCTTCTAAACTTTAGAAATTATTACTAACATTATCTATGCATATATATTATAGCATTTATTTTGGGCTGCGATAGTTGTCTTGTTGCTCGTATCTTATTTTTGGAATCCTGATTCATTTATTTTATGTGGTAGGTATACCCTATCATCCAACCTAGTGCTTCTACGGTTAAACCTGTGAGACCAAATCGAGACATGGGACCACTTCTTCCTTTTGAGGAACTTGTAAATGAAGATGTTTATGTGGATGAGCCCTTTAAGCAAAAGGACAATAATAAAGATGATGCTAGCAAGGATTGTAATCTCCCAAACCCTTGTGCTTTATTGCATGTAACAAACAGGAAAAAGGCACCACGGAAGAAAAGCTTGCCAATGGTTTGTTATATTAGATGTCTCATTGCTATTTTCACTTCTTGAAATTTTAGTAATTTGTATTCTAATATCAAGCAAATATAGCAGGAGGACAACAAATTTCTAGAATTGCAAGCAGAATATGAGAGTTTGTTTCTAAAATTTGAAACTGAGGTTTCCCCCTGTTAATTCTTGATTCACTTCCAGATTCAGAGTTTGCTAGACTAGATATATAATGCCCACGTGTTTCTTATTGCAGAGAACTATAAGTGATATACAGCTTGAATCATTGAGAAAACAGCTAATTGATTCAAATTCTTTCCATTCTAAGGAATCTGTTGAGTCTGTAAATTATGCCCATAATGGTTGCTTGATTGTTGAGAAAAATGCGAATTTTAGAGAATCAGATGCTATTCTTGTTATCAAGAGACTTCAAGAGCAGGTTTTGTTTTCTTTCCCTTTTTCACATCTCTCTTTATCAATAATTTCCTCTTTTGTTTTTGTTTAACCATCCTTTTCAAAGATCAAGACAATATTAGTTACTCTTTTTGTCAGTTGTACACTTACTCTTCAGTTAATATTTAATTAATTTACACATGCATCTATTGCAATGTAAAAATGAAAAAGGGTAAAATAGAAAATCTCTTCTATTTTGTTAAAATCAAGAAAAGTTATTACAATTATTGGTTTCTCCAAAAGACCCTTACACTTAAAAAGAAACAGAGGGATTATGATTATTGAAAACAAACTTAAGAGAAAGGAAATTTGTATTTATTTTTCTGAGATTTGTTCTTGTTTCGAGCTTCTGATTGCAGAAGCTATATATAGACTACACAAGCTCATCTAATTGACTGGATCAATTATAACAACCTGACAGTGACAGCTGTAACAAACTACTCCAAGTGAATACATCATATAATGATGGCTGTAACTAAATAACTATGTCTGATGAAAGTAGTTATACACTCACATGATTAAAATATGTCTATAACCATTTTTCTACTTTATGCTGCATTAGAATGTATATACACACATGTTTTTATTTCTATCTGTGTCTTATATTTTTAACTTGCATATTGAAGATTAAGGTTTTGGAAATGGAAAACTTATCAAGCCAACAAAGCTTGGATAATGTTGTTGATCTGGTTGCAGAGCAGAATATATGTGGTAGGGAGAAATGCAAAGAGGTAATAATCGTTTAAGTCAACAGTGTTTCTTTCTCTAAGCCTTCTAATCTGATTATGAGATGCTAATTACTAGATTTGATAGCACAGCAGGAACTAGCTGAAATATTTATTGAAACACAATAAACAATATTGCTGTCTCAACAAATTTCCTCATCTACAGAAAATATATGTTCAGAAAGTTACAAATACAACCCCTTAAATATCCACTTAAATTAAACTCGATAAAGCATAACTGTTCTCTAGAAAGGCATAGTAGTCCACTCACATTGGTCCTAAATTTGGATCTAATTGCAACAAGGTAGGTGACTTGAGTTCCACTGAAATTATGGAACTCTAGTGTGGGTTCTATAATGGCTTGGGCTTTCCAACTACAATAGCTGGTCTTTTATGTTGTGGTTTTCCTAGGTTCTAATAAATTGTTATCATATCAGAGCTTTCCACCATGTCTCTCGCCATGCTTACTGGAGATTAGTGAAAGGGCTAGTGCACAGTCAGCTTGTGAGTTTTGGAGCTGCGGAGCATAGTGGGTGTTAGGATCCAGTTGCAACTTAGAAGCACGGGATTCTAGTGTGGGGCTTATAAATGGATAACCCTATGTGCTCAATACACATTAGGGATTCATCTTATGTCCCTTTCTCTTTTATTTTAACAATAGCCTTTAGTATCTCCATGTGAATAAAAATCCAGCGAGTACTATATTGTATCACCATTTCTTGATTCTACTTGCTATCATTCTTGTAGTCGATTTATGTTAATTGCTTGTAGTGCAAAGAAAAAACTTGAATTTGCTAATGGAAGTGCTCCATAACCACCAAAATTGGATAAAATGAATATGTTATGGTGTCAATACAACAATACAGCCGTTTCATGGATTGTTCATTCAGTATCATCTCTCTTGATCAGACAGAGTATTCTCTGGATGTACAAGGCTGATGAAATTTCGAAAGATTTGAAATTACACTACTCATTTACAACAAGAAGCATCTTGGAGAAAACAAGGTGATCTCATCGTAATTGAAATTTTTTGCCAACTAATGTGTTATTTGGGAAGAACTTGAGACTTTCAGATTTATCCGATATGTTCTTATACTGAGACATGCTTTTTCAATGTTTTTCCCATTATTGCCAACGTAAATTGGAAGATCAATAATACAAGTTGTACGTGGATTAAATGATCTCCTTTTTCTTAGTTCTCGGTACTAGGGCCATCCACTATAGTAATATCATGTGATGGTTAACACTAGGTGAATTTTCTTAGTGAGAAAGTTGTATTTTATTTTAAACTTCAATTGTAATGGACCTAATATGAACGATAAATTTGCTGATGACTTCTAGATTACTGTCATCTTTAAAATTATTGATGTGTAAATTACTTCAAGATATCAAGAATAACTTCAATAACACGGCAACCTCTTCTGTTTATCTTGCTACTTTCACTCTATAGTTGGAATAAAGGGAAAAGGACAGAATACTAAATATTACCTGTCTTTGTATATGTTGTATTTAAATTTATCTTTTAGAATATTTATGGTATTTTTCCCTTTTTTATTGACAAAATACGGTAGCAAAGATGGGTCACTCCAAGGGTCAGGGCAACTAGATAAATTGTATTACTAAATTGGGCACCCATGAGTATTTGTCTGATATATTTTTTGCAATCTTTAGACTGTATAAATCTGTGTCATTTATTGCTAAATTAAGATTTATAATTCCTATATTTTGTTTCATCTGGTTAGCTCTATGAAGAGCTTATAAATGCACAACAGGCAGCTCGATTGGCTAATGAGCAACTTACTTTCACTGAAACTGTGAGCAACATTAATGTATGCAATTGATGATTTTATAAACATTTTGATTCGTGCTTTCTTGTAATGTCTGTGATTAACTATCAATTTACAATTCTATATGACTATGGTTCATACTATATATCCTATCCTATAACGCTGATTCTTGAAGCTTTATGTAGGATGGAAATCTTGACTTTCCAATCAGTGTTTCCATGGAAATTGAAGAAATTGCATCTGAAATTCAAAACTCAAGAGATGTTGTTCAAAGTGCTATGTTTATGGTGGATGATGCTATTAAAAGTTTCTCTGCTCTCTGTGATACTCTCCTTGTAAGTGCTTTGATAGAGCCATTGAGGCACTATAGCATCACTATTTGTAAGAAAAATGAAATTGCAGAACATTTACTTCATGTAATGCCTTTAGCGGTTATCATTTGTTTTCTAACTAAGATCTAATATTGTGTATGTTTTTAGTTGGAGGGCTTACTATTTTATGGTTCGATACAGGTTTTCAAAACCTCAGTATATGAGGATTCTGCAGATCAAATTTTAATCTTGAATAATTCTCAGAATTTGATTTCTTGCCTAAGAAAGAAAATATTTGAGCTTGAAAGTGAGAAGGTAAAGCTTCCTTTCTATTATGAAATATTTCTAGAGATGTCCTAGTTGGTCTAATATTTGTGCTGCAGGTTCTTCTAGACAACCAAGTAGTTGATCTACAGAAGCATCTTCAGGAATCAAACCTAGATGCTCAGAAGTCCCAAAATTCTTTGATGGTTGGCCTTTATTTTAGAAATATTTTCTATCCTATCTGCTCATTTCTTTGAATATGCAATGCTGCGAATAGGAACACTAACTGTTTATTATTGTTACAGGATAACTTAGAACAACAGAAATTTGAAAATGCAGAGTTGATTTCTTATATTCAAACTCTTGAAAAGGATTTATCTTGTTTGACATCATCTACAGTGGCCAAGGATAGAGAAACTACAAGAAAAGAGCTGGAGAAGGTTAAAACCAAGTTAAAAGAAACCGAGTCTAAACTTAAGATTGCGATACAAGAGAAAACAAAAATTGAGGTTCTTTTTTTGGCACATCTCATGATTCCTTGGTTTCATTGTAATCTATTTACTTTTCAAATTTATGCCCTAACATATTAAGTGTACCTTAGGGTGAGAAAGCCTATGCGGAGCGAGAGATTAAACAATTGCGTGGCCAAATCTCTCTTCTTGAACGTGATATCAATAAACGTGATTCACTTGCGGGAAGAAGACGTGATTCAATTGTTGAAAGGGGTTCTAAGATATTTGATCCTAAAAGACCAAAGGGCCTAGAACAGACATTACAGGTTGACTTTGGGACTTGATGTATGCTTGTTGAAAATTGTTGATTGACATTCATTTGAATTTGGTGTAATTATTGGTCTTTCTCATATTTGTACGTGTATACATGTGTTTAAACTTTAGTGCTCTTTCCTCATTCATGCTTTTGGTCACAATGTTTTATGTTCAGTTACTCCTAAATGATAGTACCCATAAAGAACTGTATGTTACACATTCTCTATGAAGTTATTATGCGATTCCTGAGCTCTCACCTTGTCATTCCTTCCTTTTGCCTGTATTATTAAGTTATGAACATGTTTGAATTACTTTTATATATTATTTTAAGTTTATGTATAAATATAATTTTAAGTAGAATAATTGATTATTTTCATATATATATATATGTGTGTTTTGTCATGTATCAGGATGAGCACAAAAAACTGGAAGTTTTGGCATTTGAATCAGAAACAAGAATTGCTTCGTTAGAAGAAGAAATAACAGCTACGTTGAAGGAGAAAGAAGAGGTGATATCTATTAATGAAGGTTTGTTGTTAGAACTGGAAGGCTTGACTGAAAAGCTGAACACATCAACCACTGAACTATATCATTTGAAGGAGGAAATTTATGCTCTTGTAAGTTTTTCTGTGAAGTTTCCTAGAATTTCCCTTTTAACTCAGTTGTTAGATGGCTGATAGAATTAACAGGTTGACGGAAAAATTATAGAAAGTAAAATATAGTTGAGAGAAGCGGAGAATCTGAAATTATTGACATAATTTTCAAAAGATTTCTGTTGAGATCCGTTGCAAACATGATATAAAATTGGAAGACATGTTAAGCAAAATAAAAATTAAAAAACCATTCACGTAATCAACTTCTCATAATAACTAAAGCTTTTGGTATAGTTTGTTTTTGACATAGTATCATCAAATTCTCTATGCTCCAGTGGTTTAGAGTTCATTGCGGTGCCCATTATTCTAATAAAATGTTGCACGAGGTAGTTGGCCAATACATTGTGCATGCTTTGAAGCCCAAAAAGCTGTTAATCAAGGAGGTAGATTATAAACATGAGTATTCCTTTATATAATGAAGAAGAGATACAATAGTAAAGAATGAAAGCATTACCTAATAATGGGAAATATTCGGTAAGATATTACCCTACCAGATATATATCCCTATTGAGTTTGACCAAATTATGACTAACAATATTTAATGTGATTTGCTAGTGGTCTTTTGTTGAGATCAATGCATGTATGCAGATTGAGGTATTTTTATAACTGTTGAACGAACTAATCAACAGTTGGCAGAAATTGACTACTCTAAATTGCAGATACAAGCCAACATAAGTAGCGATCTACTGTAACAATGACAATTAAATAGCCAGTTTGCTTTCTCATTCAAACCATTAATTTGGTATCTTATTCTTGTCCACCCAGAAGCAAAGATTGGAAGAATCTGATATCAACCAAGAAAATTTGAAAAGCTCTATCAAAGTACTAATGGAAGAAAAGGAAGAGTTGGCTATGGTAGTGTAGCTTCAGCAATTTTTTTCTTCTACTTTATTGTGATTCTTCCCCTTTTAGGACATTTCTCTTGTTAAGGCATTTCATTGTATCTTCTTGATCTTGCAGCAACTCACTGATTCACTTTTGGAAATAGAGGAGGAAAGGGCAATATGGTCTGCCAAAGAGAAAGCATCACTTCTAGCTATAGAAGAACACACAAAGTCAAACAATGTGCAAATTACATCATTATCAACAAAATTATTAGAAGTAAGGTTTACAGCTCCACTATTTAGGAAACTTGTTTTAGTTCCCTTTATTTTCTTTTACTTCATGGGTTCCTTGAAGTCTACAAAACTGCCTTGTAAGGTGATGATTGCATTTCATTTATATATTATTATTTGACTTTATTTTTAATTGATTTGAGATCTCTAACACACACCCTCATGTTGAGAAATGAACATCTCAAGCGTGATATTGGATATTTATGGGTAGTCTAACAAGAATATGATAACTGTAGCTTAATAGCATAAAAAGCCTTGACTAGGATAAGTTCTAAATGACTCTTATATGATCTTAAGAAGTGGACTTTAAGTCCAACTCTATCCTATAAAACCGAATTGTAAGACGAGGATTCCACCTCACTTATATATTATAATCTGACCTTATTCTTTGTCGGTGTAAGATCTTCAACAATTTGAGCCAAATAAGCTTACAAAAGGAAATAACCATTGCTCTGTACTCTGTTGTTGCGTGATCTTACAGCTACATTATACTTTTTTGTTTTTCTAGGAGATGAAGTTATTACCAATAAAGACAATATCTGAAAGTGGATGTCTTGTAGTGGTGAACTTGTCCTATTTGCATTAGAGAACATGAAACTTGAGTATAATTATTGTGTCCATATAACAAACCTTTTTCCTAAGGTCTTTTTAATGTACTTTAGAAAGCAAATAACTATATTCCTATGTCTTACACATGGAAAATTAAGAAACTGACTGGCCACAAAACAAATGTATATATATATATATATATATATATATATATATATATTTATAAAGATGGGTTTAGGGTTTATATATATATATATATAATGAAGATGGGAAAACTAATTTTTGAAAATATAATTACAACACTTGTATTAGACTTGTATTTAGTTGGTCTCTCTTTACGTTATGTAATGTACGGACTATGATATAGTTTATTGTCTAACTTTAGGTAGTTATTGTGTTTTTGGCAGTTATGGCAGTTCTTTTGTCTTGGCAACTGTCAATAGCTGCTGTTTTCTTTTTTCTTATCAGAGTATATTTAAAACAGACTTAAAGTGTACAACCATTATGTTTTTAATATCAGATTGAACTTTTCTACGTTGTTACATTATCTCTTTGTTTCTTACAATCCTCCAGACTTAATATGGTATCCAGAGTAGGTTACTGATTTTGGTTACCCACCTATGATGTCTAATTCTTCATCCCACCCATCCCCTAACCACTTCTTTTTGCACTCAGTTGTTGAAAAACTTGATGACTCCAATTATCTTCTTTGGAAGAAGCACGTTGAACATATCATCACATCTCACAAACTTCATCGGTTTGCGGTTAATCCTGTCATTCCCCTTCAATTTCTCTTTGTATCAATGGTGCTTGGTGTGGTTGTTCCTATCAAGTTTGGGACCAGATTCATGAACAATTTTTCAATTAAATGGAAGCTTGCGCTTAGTAGTTGCACACTGATCTTCGTTTGCAAACTTTTGAAAACAAAACCATGAAGAAATACTTAGGTCATATTAAGTCTATTGTTGTTGACGTTGTTGAACATGTTGAAGACATTGAACATGTTGAACACGTTGAACCTAATGAACATGTTGAACACGTTGAACCTGATGAACATGTTGAGGCCATCCTCCAAATTTTGCTGCTGTCATCTCTTTCATTGAAAGCAAATTTGAGACTCCCTGAAATACTGTGGTTGAGGCTTTGCTTCTTGCCTGTGAATCTTATTAGTGTTAGTAAATTTGTTCGTGATAATAATGTTTCCTTTGAATTCCATCCTCACGTCTGTCTTGTTAAATCTCGAGCCATAAGTGATGTTCTTCTTTGAGGTGTTGTTAATTCAGTAGAAGTTTGGGCTGGACTTCTGTACTCAACTTCTGTGCTGGAATAAGAAATGACCTGTTGCTTGCATGACCACTAAGAGATTAAATTAAGAGAAGACAAGGAGGATGAGGGATCCATGGTTTCGGAATCTGGTGGAGGAGGATATGAGTCTCAGGGATCTTCAGGCAAGGAAGGAGGTGACCAAACAATGTCATTTGCATTTTGAGATTGTGTTGAAGTTGGAGAAGTAGGAATAACTAGGGTATCACATGATCGTATAGGAAGCATCTCTTGAACAGATGAATGATCCTCCATAGAGGACAAGAAAAAAGGTATATTCTCAAAGAATGTGACATTAGCAAACATATAATACGTTTTGGTTGAGGGAGAATAACATTTATACCCTTTCTGAAAATGAGAATATCCCAAAAAGACACACTTATAGCCTTGACAAAAAGTTTATCAAGACCTGAAGAGACATTATGAACAAAACAAGTACACCCAAATACACATGGAGAGACATGGTATAGAGGATCGTGTGGAAAAATTATACAGTGAGGAACTTTATTTTCAAGAGAAGAAGGCATACTATTGATAAAAAACCAGGCAGTGAGGACTGCATCCCCTTAATGATGAACAAGAACATTAGTATTTAACATCAGGGAGTGTGAAGTTTCAATAAGATGTCCATTCTTTCTCTCTAATTTGCCATTTTGTTGTATAGTGTGAGAACATGATTGGTGTAAAATTCCTCGGGAAGATAAGAATGAAGAAAACACAACAAAAAATATTCCTTAGCATTATCACTTATGAGGATTTTAATTGTCTTCCCAAATTGGTTCTTAATTTCATTAAAAAAAAAGACAAATGTGGGTAAAAGTTCAGATTTCTTTTTCATTAGATAAACCCAAGTACGTTGAGAGAATTCATCAATGAAGGTTATAAAATAGTTAAAACCAAAGGAAGTAAAACGACTTGGTCTCCAAATATCAGAGTGAATAGTAGAAAAAGCAAAATTACATCGTGTCAGAGTTTTTAGGATAGAAAGATCTAACATGTTTTCCTAACTGACAAGACTCACAGTCTAAGACTTGAATGTGTTTGAGACTTGGAACCATCATCTTCAACTTAGTCAATATTAGGTGACCCAAACGATCATGCAAAAGTTTTGGGGATGAAGTTGAAAAACAAGAAACTAAGGAGCTAGGTTTTAGGAAATAAAGTCCTTGTGACTCATGTCCTTCTCCAATTAGACGACCTATACCATGTTCTTGTATAACAAAAGAATTAGCAGTAAAGGTTACAAAACAATTTAAGGAGCGAGTCAGTTGGCTCAAAGAGATTAAATTATAAGGACATTGAGGAATATACAAAACAAAATTTAAATTTAGTGAAGGAGATAAGGAAACTTTGCCAATTCCTTAAGATGCCACTTTGGATCCATTGACAACATTAATGAAATGAGGAATTTTTGGAGAGGAAATGAAGGAAAAAGAAGGAACGTTACTAGAGACATGATCTGAGGCTCTTGAGTCAAGAATCCATGAACTAACCTTCCACAGATTAAGAGATGCATATAGTTGACACATTTGACATTGAAGAGTATTGACCAAGATTGGTAGACTTTTCAGACTTGTACCTTAAAAATTCTTGATACTCTTCATTAGAAATTCTAGATTTTGAATTATCAAATTTAATCACATGAACAACTTTATCTCGAAAACCAGATAAGGAATAAAATCTTTCCTGGGTATGGCCCATTTTCTTACAATATATGCATTAAGGACATCCACCTTGATCGCCACGTCCTCCTTGGTTGCTCCTACCTCCTCCTCTTCCTTGTGGTAATACCATTGTTGATGTTTCAATAACATCAATTGAATTCTCTCATCTTTTACGAATGTAGGTACCCGAAGGAGTCGAGTAACTAAGTTGTCCATTGACGGGATTTAGTACCAGCTAAAACTTGATCTTGTACATGATTAAAATCTGAGTGTAGACTTCTCAGAATTAGGACCATGTAAAACTTATCAACTTTTTGTTGATATCTTCTAATGAATCATCCACAAAGATATTCTTTAACTATTATATCACAGCCCGAGCCTTTCCTATATAAGAAATCATATCATGATTGACTTGTTTGAGAGAAGCTACTCTTTGAGGGAAAAAAACCCTAGGTATGAGCCACGACCAACAAAACAAAAAAATAGGGACCAAAACATGCTTAGGAGGCTTTGGGAGATGATCGACAATGGCACAATGTGATTCTGGCATTGGGAAGGCAATGCATGATGATGTGTGGCAACGCGTGCGGAGGTTGCCGAGGCGAAGACCACCAAGGATGAATCGTGCTTCTTGAGGTGCACCTAACCTTGACTTTGCCAGAGAAGATGTGACAGCAACGACGAACGACATAAACGACATAGAAAGGTGGGCATAATACAACCTTAACCCTAAAGTTGGGTTCCCATACATGAATAATATAAAATAAAACTCATTACATTTCAACAAACAATAACAAAAGAACCTGAAGTATCAAAGTGAACTAAATAGAAAGGAAACAAGACTCATTTATTAAGATTATTAGGAGAAGAGTGAAGAACATGTTTTAATTGGCGTGACTCACAATCCAAAATCGACCAATGTTTTAAATTGTACACCATCTTCCACAATTTTGTTAAGTTGTGATGTTCTAATTGAACATGAATGATCATTAGATAGATTAGTGATGCACATATCGACAGTAATGGATAAGTTGCACTATGATAGTTTGGTTGTTGGTGTTTTGATGTTTGATATATAGATTTATTTCGTATCATCATGCTTCCATTTGCTTAAATTATTCAAATTTGTCTATAATGTTAGGTAGGGAATGAATTGGAATCTTGTAAAGAAGAATGCAAAACCCTACGTGAAAGACCAACTACTACATATGAACATTCACATACCAAGGAAAATTTCGGGTTTGTTTAGTGTTAATTAAATTTATTTCTCTCTTATCCTCTCTTGTACTACTTTATTATTTTTCTAATATGTTTTCTTACTACATTTAACATGCTATGTTGATAAACAATTTTGAAAGTTTGGTTTATCATTGAACTTTATTAGATTTGGTGAGATAAATAGCTTAGGTGGAGATTAACCTTACCTTTTGGAAATACATACATACATACATACATATATATATATATATATATATATATATATATATATCCCCATCTACAATTAGAATATTATAAAATTTAATGAACATCATTTCACAAGCAAGAACGATCATGAATTTTATAATTAGCATGTCCGGATTGCATTTATAGAATTTTTGTATAAGAGATATTATATAACTATAAACAAAAGGAAATGGGATAACAACCGCTTTATGTTTAGAATGAGAAGCAATAAATAAGGAATTCATTAAAAGTTTATTCTTAACTACCAAACATCTATGTGAATATCCATCTACACCCTATTGTCTTCTTGTCTTTGGGCTTATCAACAATCTCCCAAGTTGAATTTCTTTCTAATGCATTCATCTCTTCTTTCATGGCTTGATTCCAATGTTCAAGTTTCATGGCCTCTTGGATTGAGGTAGGAATTTCTATGACATCAATGGTAGCAAAAAATCTTCTGTGCTTATTAGAGAGATTGTTAATGCAAACACACTGAGAAATAGGATATTTAGCACATGATCTTCTTTGCTTTCTCAATGCAATGGGTAAATCCTTAGTAATACTTACCTCCTCACTGTTATCTTTAGGGATCCTCACCTTTAGATTAGACAAGTTTTCTTGCTCGAGAGTCGAAGTGGGTTATTTTCTTCTCATTTCTTTTTGCCAAAAAAAATGTCTTCTTCCTCTTCTTTCTTACTGTGGACTATGGTAGCTTCATTGCTCAGATCTTGGCATCCTACAAAGACAATCATGGTAAGGACAAGAAGGAGAGTTCATCCACTTCAAGTGCTTTCTCCCCTGAAGTGGTGGATTGACATAAAAGGATTGTGTTTCATGAAAGGTGACATTCATGGTGATAAAGACACAACGACTTTGAGGATGATAATGACACATTTTAAAGCTCTAGTGTCAAATTTACTACGATTAGGATGATGAAAGTGAACAAAAACAATAAATCCAAAGACTCGACTAGGTAGACTTGATATTAGGGGGGAAGAAGGAACAAAAGACAATAGAGACTCTATAGGACTAATGCCATTTAAGATACAGGTGGGTAACCTGTTGATGAGATATGTGACAGTTAACACAATTTCCCCCTAGTAAATTTTTTGGAACAGACATTTGACAAATAAGAACTTTAGTTACCTAAAAAAGATGACGATTCTTTCTTTCTATTACCCTGTTTTGTTGAGGGGTGTTTACACATGTTAGTTCATGAATAATACTATTATGAGACAAAAAATTGAGAAATTCATGATTCACATATTCAGTACCATTATTAGACTTGATTCTTTTGATATTTTTTCCAAATTGATTTTGGACAAGACGGTAAAAATTAACAAAGATTTAGAAAACTTTTGATTTGTTTTTTCACAAGGTATGTCCATGTGACACAGGTACAATAGTCAATAAAGGTAACAAACCATTTGGCTCCGAAAATAAATTCTATGACAAGTCCCTAAACGTTAGAATGAATTAAATCAAATGGAGAAGTACTCTTTTTATTACTAATACGATAAGATGCATGATGATGTTTTGACAACTGACAAATATCACAATTAAAAGACTCACAAGACTCCTTGGTAAACAAATGGGAAAATAAGGATTTGATAAGATTGAATGAAGGATGTCCAAGCCTTTTATGGTGAAACCATATTTAGGAATTTGCTCACGTCTCAGACGTAGCTTGTTGACTAATGATTTTTGTTTTGCTTTGGTGATTTGACTCCAACAGATACAACCCACTCTCCTCCTTAGCAATAATCATTTTTCTCATGGCAAAGTCCTAAAAAACACAATAAGTTGAGAAAAATGTTACTAAACAATTTAAATCCTTTGTGAGTTTTTGCACATAAATAAGACTATTGGCTAATTGTGGAACTTGTAAAACATCTTTTAATACAATAGATGAGTCCAAAATTATATTTCCAGGGCCACATATCCTGACCATTCACAACTGTAATAAGTTGTTCTTTATTTCTTTTACTGTATGAGTCGAAGGATACACGAAAATGTGTCATATGATCAGTTGTTGCTCCTGAATCAAGAATCAAAATACCTTGAGACACAAGACGAACAATATTAAGACAAATCTTACCTTTCATGGACATAGTACATGATCCAGAGGCCTTACTCATTGATTCAGTCATTGCTTTCAAGCGCTCGAGTTCCTCCTTATAAGCTTTCATATCAAGATCTGGTGGTGGTGAAGTACTAGATTGATTGGTGGCTTCCTGTTTTGAGGTAATATTATTTACCCATCTTTGAGCAGACCCTTTGTTGTTTCCCATGTGCTCGAGAACATTATTTCTTCCATGGAGTTTGAAACATGTTTCCCTAGTATATCCAGATCTTCTACAGTATAAACAATAGTCTCTACGATTACATTTTTCAAATGACTTTCGTCCAACTTTTGTTCCCTTGTGGACCCTTTTTCGGTTGTCATGACAGAGTCTGTGTTGGAGATCCCCCCGTAAGCATGACAACTCTCCGAGTTTCTTCGCCTTTTACCATAAAAAATACTTCTGATTTTTCTCTTTCTAAGATTTGTACCTGGATTGGGTCGTACTCATGATTCAGGTCATGGAAAAATTTAAAGATTCTTTCTCTTTCCACGACTTTCGCATGTGTGACAACATTTGTTTTACACGTATTTATTGTTTGGTACTGATCTAATTCAATCCAAGTCCATTAAGGATTTCATGATATTCTGATATGAAAAGGGAGCCATGTTTTTTATTAAATATCCTACTTTTAATGACATAGTAGGACCAAAATCCTATTTTAATGAAAAAGTACCCTGTAAATCATCCCATATCTCTTTGGCAGAAGAATGAAACATATAATTTCGACTTATCTTAGGAATTATGGAATGTCACATCCAAGTCATAATTAGTGAATCTTCATTGTCCCAAATTGGAAAATGAGTGTCATCTATATTTGGCCCTCCTCCTGCTATGTGATATAGTCTTGAACCTCCTTGAGAATCCTTCGAATGTACTGGCTCCATTGTAAGAAATTCTGACCATCCAACCAGGCACCCACCACATTTGGAAGATCATTAGAACTCAAAGGAATAATTTTTACCATCCCTTGGAACACAATAAGGTGTCTCCGACTCCTCTATTCAAGACGATGACAATTTGTAGGCTACATCGGAAAGAAGGAGCAGAACTCAAAACTCATATCTACTCAAATCTGGGCCAAATGAGATGTCACCAACCTCTGAAACGAATTCAGAGGCTCCGACGACCCTTTCTGTGATGGTGGCAACAAGTGGCTCTTGTCAGAACTAGGCGTGTGGTGACGCCGGAGTGATTTCCAATGTTGTACTGGAAATGGGCGCACCTTTGTACCCTATCAACAACTCCAACTACTACGGTGGCAACCGCAATGGCCGGATAGTAGCGGCAGTGGCTACTGTTGCAGCGGAAACAGAGCTCCCAAAATCGGGAGTTCTTATACCATCTTGAACATTATTATCATTCATGTCTATTACATTCTCCTTACCTCTATTTGTAACAATCAAATCTTCTAAAAAAAAGAAAATAAAGAAACAATATACTGAAAAATAAACTAGAAGATCTTACTTATATTTTCTTTAATTAAGAATATTCTATAGATATTTTCTCTAATTAGGAAGATTTCCCTCTAATTATAACATACCTTTTTTTTTATTTTGTTGATTTGAGCATATTTTTTGTATTTTGACTATGATAGCGTGCCACAGAAACATTCAAAAGATGTGCATCCTACAATTTATGTTTTGGATGTTCATTTACACTGCATTTGTTATAACGACGTGACGCTGTTAATGCAGCTGGAATTTCATTCCCTTTGTCTTTTTGTATCTAAATTTATTTGCCTTGCGACACATCTCAGCTTGTGTCAGTTTTTGCTTTTTAGATATTCTCATATTTGACTTGGTTTCTATTGGTTACTCTATTCAGCCACCCCGTTTGCTACTCCCAGTCTTTTTTTTTTTTTCATTAGATGGCTCGCGAGCTTTAACTGTCAAACGTATTAAATCACTATTCCTGTCATGTTATTTTATGGCTGCAGGGAAAAGGTTTCGGAGAGGGATCAACTGGAAAAACACATTGAAACAACCAATGCTGAAGGCAAACAATCTCTAGAACTAGAAGTAAGGACTATTTATTGTTAACAATTTCGTGGTTTGAGTTGTGACTTACTGCAAGGCATAATATTATTTGCACGTATTTTAGATGTCAAAAGCCACTTCAGAGGTACAACCTTTGGAGAATGAGCCGCATGACTGTCCCATGGAAGAGAAAGAAAATGAAACTCCGAAGGAACTGGATGTTCTTGATAAAGGAGATACTCTATCCAACCCGAACGTGCTTCAGGTTTCTCCTTCATTGTCACTAGAAGATTTGTCCATTCATATATCTATATTTATAATTAAGGGGTTGGGAAGAGTATAAAAATCTTGAGACTCCATGTACCATATAAGTTTTACTGATCATCCCAGTTTACATGACAGAATCTCGAGACCAAACTATATCATTTGACAACAGAAAAAGATATACTGACGATTGAGATGGAAGATCAACAGAAACAAATGGAATTTCTGCGAAAGAATTTCCAGGATGAGGTAAAAGGAAAATGGTACCTTTTGAAAGTTTCTAAGGGTGTGTTTGACCTACTTTTAAAGTCAAATCAATAAGTTTCAAAAATATAGTAGAACACTGTTTGAAAATTTTTATTTCTTTTATAGCTTAAAACAGAATCTGAGAGAACTAAAAGGATGGGGAGAGACGAGAAAACGAGGAGAGAAGTGTTTTTATTTTTTGTTGAAGTTCCTTCACCCATCCTTTGTAAAATAAACGCCTACAATTGTTGTTATGTTTAAGAGTTTTTCAAAAGATGTTTTTAGCTCACTTTCTCTTTTTTTTGAAAGAAGCCATAAAAGGCTAGATTCTACTAATTTTAGTAATTACATTAAGGAATATTCTTTATCTGTTATCTTAATTTCAGTAATCACATTATGCATATTCTTTATCAGTTATCGAAGGGAAAGGTCCAGGTTGAAGAACTAAGACAGAAACTTTCTTGTATGGAAGTCAAAATGCATGCGGTAAGTACCTTATTGGGGTTATCAGTTCAAATATGGGTTGTATTGATCACATATACCAATTGCCTGTCGGAATTTCTTTCTTTGATGATTTCATTGATTCTGCTCGTCCATAATAATACATCCCAATTTACAGTAATTAAGAAGCAACAATAATAAGTTGATATTTATTCATAATATACACATGTATCAGGAAACAAAATAATATCAGAATCCCTTGTTGACATCTTCCTCAATATGATGTCACTGATCAAGAAACTGATGTTGAGGTACAACCTTGGAAAAGATGTCTGCAAGCTAAAGTTGGGATGTGACATGAAGAAGAGAAATGACATGGGCATCCAATACTTTTCGAATACAATGACAATCCACCACTATGTTTTTGTGCCATCATGCAAAACCAGATTAGCGTCAAACTGGATGGACTAGTGTTGTCATCATAAAGAGGTGTGGCAGCTTTTCAGGAAAACCTAGGTCAACCAAGAGTCCACGGAGCCAAATGATACTCTTATTGGGTGGAGGACTTCAATACACGATTTCTTTTTACTCTTCAAAGAGATTGGTGCAGAACCATGAAACATGCATCGACCAGTAATAGATCTTTGTGTACCAGGGTTGCCTGTTCAATCTGCCTCACTTTAGTCAAACAAACTAATAAGGTTCCCAACAGAAAATAATAGGCCATCAGCACCTTTTTGAGTCATGAATGATGCGTCAAATGGTGGCCATATGAAGATGGTGAGAGGAATGCTTAAATTGGCTCATCTGTTGGGCTTCAAACGGAGTATGAGGAAATGAAATCATTGGATAGTTAAGACAACCAACCAACCGACAATATAATAAAGGGTTTGACAAAGGATCTCCCTAATCTTGATGAAATTCGACATTAACCTCAAGAGGAGTGTCGAGTAGAGTGGTTAAAGTAAATATTTTTGTACCATGTCAAATAGATACATAAGTCGCACTCTAAAAATTAAGACAGATGATATGGAACTTCCTAGCATCTCCCCTCCCTCCAAGCAAGTCGACAATTTCTAAGATGAGTCCTAGATTCTAATACCATGTGAGAATTTCTCTCTTTGATGATTTCATTGATTCTAGTATTTAATAATACATACCCATTAAGTCGACAACTCTCTCTATGAATAATACATACCCATTATAGTATTTAAGACAATAATTCTATTTAACTTATTTAATCAAAATCAGGAAAGCAAATAGTCTGCAGTGAATAAGTAGATATTTTATTCCTATTATATACAGCGTATATCTGGAAAAAAGAAATAATATAATCCCTTGTTGACATTGTCAAGCGAATAACTCTAGGAATAATTTATCTGCATTTATTTAGATTGTCTGTGCTGGATGAATCAGTAAAAACATCTTTTTTTTTATGACAGGATGGTGTAACAAACAACAAAGAAATGGCTAAGCTCAGAATGAGACTCCGTGGAACACAAGCAAAACTGGATGCTTTCCGTTGTAGATACAAGGAAGCAATCGATGAATCAGTCATAACAAATAAGAAGTATAAAGACCAGTTGGCTTCAAAATGCGTAGAAGTGCTTAACCTAAAGAAAGAGTTAGCAGCAGTCAAAAGCCAATAGGAAATTTGCATGGTATGTTAAAGGATGCAATCTCGCATCTTGGGTCACCTCACTCTTTGTTTATTAAAATTACAGGTCAGGCCATCATTCCAAATGGTCTCCGTAATATGTAATCTCATCCAGTTGTGAAATCTTGAATGATTCGTGTTTCAATTTCATACAATTCCTCATAATAACTATGAATTTCCTGCAAATCCCTTATATTATAAGAAACTCAATTAGTAAATTGTGACTAGGGCATGAAATGGAAGAGTTAAGGCAAATATGCAATACTTACTCTCTAAAGGACCACAAATCATAGCACCACTCAGGGTTGACTCTTGAACATAGATATAATGTTCACACAATTTTGTACGTCCATGGAATGCAATATCTATGCTTACAAAATTGTATGTGAACAACACATGGATATTACATTCCAGGGATGTACAATGAACAAAATTCGTACAATGAACAAAATTTAAAAAAATCTTTGAATTTTTTAAACGTGCTAAATGTTAAACTTTCAATTGACTTATGCTTCTTTTTATTAATTTCTATTTTTTAATTTTAAAAGAATTTTTCTTGTTTTATGAGGTTTTTGAAAAAAAAATTACATTGTGCAGGTATGAATATAGTGTGGGTGCTCAGGTAATAAAGTTAACTATCAAGAATATCTGAAGCTGTATTTGAAATTAAATTTGAAGATTGCTGAAGGTAATCTTATTATATTTAATGTATCTCTCTTATGATATAGGATCTTTATTATATTTGATAAAGTTAAGTGAATAAAGGGTTTGAAGGGAAAAAACAATTGAACCTTTAGAGGCTATGTAAATAAGACTGGTGTTGTTGGGGCTTCATATGTAATTAGAAAAGGGCAAGAAATTTTGGTGTTGAAATCCTTCTTTTCCACTTAGCTAAGTTTTATTCATGTTATTTTTTATTAGGATTTTGAAAAGTATTTGGCATTTAAGTTTAATTTAATTTTATAAGATTGTTTGATAAAAAGAAATATAAATTTACTTTCAACAAAATTTATATGGATATGTTTTGAATGACACCGATGTGATTTAAAAAAAATGTGTACTTTAAATTTAAATCAATTTTATAAAATAAAAATATTCTCAATATTGTTAAAGATTTAGGTGAACGATTAAATTTATATATATAAAGTGGGTGTTATGGAGAGTTTACTCAATTTTTTTGTTATGAAAAAGTTGATCCAGAAATGTTTCTTTTATTTTGAAAGAGCTGATCCGGAGATACAGTTGTGACGAAAATTTTGTTCCTGCTTGGGAAATTTTTAAAGTGTTGATGAGCTAAACCATTTACTTGCAGTGAAAGATTTTATTTATAACAATCTACGCCCAAAGATACTTTAAAACAAGATATTTTAATCACTATAAGAATAGAAAAGTTGGGCCAAAACTATTTTATTAAGTCATAACACGATATTTTAATCATTATAAGAAGTAAAATGCTCCAAGTTATTAGAGGTCTACGACCAAAGTTCTTTATATACAAATGCTAAGGTAATGTTTTAATTATTCCACTCAGAAAAAAAATCTTACGGTTTAATCCTTTTCAAGTTGGTATTAGAGGTTTAAATATGGAAGTTTTGCTTTCATATATTTTTATTGTCATATATTAGTTGTACCTTATTTTAAGACTTACTAAAGTATACATAGTATATATTTTAAGACAACTTTTGTTGTCATTGTAATAATCATCATCGTTGTTAAAGCTTCCAATCCAATCGGCAACCAGGAGATTTGTCATCCTTCAAATTTTCAGCTCCATAAGCCGTGTTACATTTAGAGTAGCCACATGTTTGCGCAAGCGTTCCCCTCTTTACACGGGTGTTTCATGTATCTCTCTTTTTCTCATGCAAATGATTTTGTTAGATATATCAAGAACATTTATTAAGAAGACACGATACTAATAAGATTTGAGTTCAATCATACTAAAAATAATAATCAACTATGATACTATGATTGAATTTATCGAGAAAGAGATTCACTAAAAAGACATAACACTAATGATATTTGAGCTCAACCATATAAGAGATTGATATTTCTCTTAATCCAAAACCTTAAGACAATAGGTTTTTGAGTCTTTGTGCTTATATGATGTTCCACTTTCTCAATTAACCCAATGTGAGACTTAGACTCACTTGGATTTCCAATAGACTTGAGCTAACAATTCAAAACATGTTCCTGTTTAGTCTTTTGCTATAGGTTGCATGTCTTTTCTTTAAAAGGGCATTGTTTATGACATTGTTTTTATTTTTCTCTAATTTATCTGTTGTTAAAAGCTAAGGAATCTCTTCTTTTGGTATGACAACTCCACTTAGCATTGTTGATTTTCTCCATTTGCTTGATGATGGAAATCTTAATGGTCAAAATTATCTTCAATGGACTCAATTTATTAAACATGCATTATATGATACAATTAGGTTCGAAATATTAAATGGGAGGTCATATCTAAATATTACCCTAGCTTTCAAATTTGGTTTATGATTGATAACTATAAAAATTGCCAAAAGTTATATGTTTTACTCTATTGTCCAAGAAATTTTGGAAGGCTTTGAATATTTCATGTTAAAGACATCTCTATATGTTATGATTTAGAAAACATGATATTTGGCGTCAAACATGATGTTCTCTCTCTTACATATATAGTAATATGGAATATTGAAGTGTTTATAAATCGAGTAAAACAAATATTAAAATTTCAGGTTATAAAATAGCATAGTTATGGTTTATTGAACAATTATATGTAATTTTAGTTCTTGTAAGGATTGAATCTTAAATAAGATCATATTAGAAATAAAAACCCCAATCTCATTCTGTCCAAGGTAAGGAGACTCGTTAAATGACATAATGATGACATACCCCTTAGCCATGGCTAATTACTTTCAAGAAGAGTTGAAGTAATTTATGGAAGATGGGACTAGTCTCTCTCTCTCTCTTGGACCATCATGGAGCTTTTAGAGTAGGAATAATTTTGGGCCAAGTAGTTTAGGATTTATTTGGGTCTTGTATTTTGAGCCAAGTGGTGTAAGTTTTATTTAGGGTCTTGTATTTTGAGTCAAGTAGTGTATGATTTTTCGACCACTTAAGTCAACAAAATTTAAGGCCCAATGTTGACCCAAAGTGGATGCCCATGAGCATAGGTCGGCCATGTGGTGAAAGTTTTAACCTAGCTTGGTAGACAAAGATGTGTGGGACCTCCTATGTGAGAGCTCACATCCGAGATATTTTCTCATAGTTGTGGTCACATGTCACTCTAGGAATGTAGAAGATTCTCCATAGGTAGTAGTCACATGTCCTCTTTCTATTGGAGATGATTTTTTTTCTTTGTCTCTAAGTTAGGTCAAGGTAATGTTTTTGGGTTTTGCTTATACAATTTGGAGACACCTTAAGCCTATAAATAGAGATGTCTCCCCCGTATAAATTCACCTTTGAATTTGAGTAATGTTATGTTGTCATTTTTGTGTCATAATATTCATCTTAGGTCACCAAAGACTAGAGCATTCTATATTGTCTCCTCTAGCCACCTTCCTCTAGAGTTGGCCTAACCTCTCTTAATATGGTGAGCCAATATCTTGAGGTAGCATCCTAGGTAGTGGACACCTAGTTAAAGCTTAGAAGTCTTGGTGAAGACAAGAAGAAAAAAGAGAGAAAACTTGGGAGGAAGAGTTAAATTTGTGGTATTTTCTTTGAGTTGTAACTTTCTTTTCTTCCTTGTAAGTTTCAGCCTTCTTAGGTATTTTGGGAGAGTATTTGGTGTTTAATATCATCTCCTAGCCTTTAAAACCTAGTTAAAATTCACGAGGATCCAAAGTTCCTTCTAACTTTACCATTAGGTCGCATAGTTTAGTTTAAATTGCTTTCTTTAATTGTTAGTAGTGTAGTGTGTGTCTACTTGTATTTCAAGCCTAATTTCATTTGAGAAGTTTGGCACAAGAGAGCTTAAGGTAAGCTTTGGCTAGAAAAGTCTTGGTTATTAAGTAATCCTTTGTGATTTAGCTCCTTTATGGAAGTTAACTTAAGTTTCTTTTGTCTCCTTAAATCTCTTAAGGAATTTCTTTTGAACTACTAAGTAATGATTTTGCATATCATCTTTAGAAAAGTTAAATCTAAGCATGTCTTAGACTCTATCCTACCAAATTGGAAGTGATTCTAGTGATAAGGCCATACCAAGTTTAAACAATTTGGCCCAAAAACTAGAGTCACTTAAACTTTGGAGGAAGCAATAGGCAATTTTGAAAGAAAAAAAGAAAAATGAAAGAAATGACCACCTTGTTATCCTAGAGGAAGATCTTAGGATACTTAGACAAAGGAAGAGAAAATACAAGAGAAGATAAAAAGAAGAAATAAAGAAAAAAGGGAAAAAAAAGGAGCAAGCAAAAAGAAAACAAGAAGTCATACAAAAAGAAAAAGAGAAAATTAAAAGAGAGACCCAACTTTCCATTTTATAGGAGGAACTTAGAATTTAAAAAAAAAGATGAGAGGATAAAAGAGAAAATAAGAGAAGACAAGAGAAGGAAGGAAGAACAAAGAGAGGAAGAGGAGAGAAAAAGAAGAAAGTATGAAGAGAAAAATGGAAGAGAGAAGGATGAGAAAGAAATAGGAGAAAAAGAAGAGATTGAGAGAAAAGAACAAGAAAAGATTAAGAGAAGAGAAAAAGAGAAAGTGATATTGAAGGCATCTACCACTCCCTAAAAAATAATTTAAACTGAGATGATAAAGAGATTTTTTCAATCTTTGAAATTTTCTAAATTCCAACTTTTAATCGTAAGAAATTTTCAAATTTACCTCTTTCTTCTAGTGCTATAACCTCCTATTTGGATATTTCAAAGTCTTTGATTTGATGTTACCTTCTAGGTTAAAATTAACTCAAAGTAGACAAACACACTCTTGGAAAGTAGAGCTTGAAAACTTTCAAGAAAAATATTTCAAAATTAACACATGGCCTCCTTCTAATCATATTTGATATATATTTTACTTGTGAAACAAATTTATTGAAATTTTATTTGGTAATTACTGCATGTGGATCTTTGATCCAAGAAAAATGATACACAAGTTGACCAATAATAAGAAAAATATTTTTTTTCATGAAGATTTGAGGTCATCTGTGGAAGATCGGTTTAGCCTCTCTCTCTTGGGCTATCTTGGCCATCGTGGAGCTTCTATAGTAAGAATAATTTTAGACCAACTAGTCTAGGATATATTTGGGTCTTGTATTTTGGATCAAGTAGTGTAGGTTTTATTTTGGACCTTGTATTTTTGATCAAGTAGTGTAAAGTTTTTAGACCACTT